CGGTGCTCTGGCTGAGGGAAAGATTAAAAATGGAGGTGAGAACATCAGCCAGCTCATTAACACATGCTTTAAGGGCCCGTCCAGGAATGTTGTCTGGTCCTGTTGCTTTGCGGGGGTTGATTCTCCTCAGGGCTCTGCATACTTGGTCTGTTGTAAGTACTGGGGGGGAGGATTGGGTGATCTGGAGGTTCTGGGAGGTCTGGGAGGCACCACCACTGTGGGCAGTAGCGAGTAGACAGGGACATATGAAGAGGTCAGCTGGTGGGGAGTTTTTGGGGGGCCTCAGTGAATCCGTCACACTTCTGTGCCAGTCTGAGACGAGTCGCAGCACTGCTTAGATGATAAATCCTGCCATTCCCACCATGCGCTCACAGATCCATTGTCATAACGAGAGGTCCTATTGCTTCCCTGTCTCCCAGCCTTTCAGACAGAAGGGAAGCTCTATCTCATCCTGGACTTCTTGCGGGGGGGAGATCTCTTCACACGGCTCTCCAAGGAGGTTAGTGTCTCCGTGTTTGCGATCTGTTCCTGCTGCGGGTGGGTAACAAACAGGTCCACTTGCGTTTGCAAAGCTCTCAACCACGATTCCACCTTCAGCATGATTACGCTAGCCATTAAAGCAAGGCCATAATTAAATTCATCAGCCTTCATTAGCGTATCTGTCAACAGAAAACAGCAGAACCCAGGAGCCCTCAACCCTTGATCAGATTTGAATTTCTAATAAAGATGGAAGTGGACTAATTTAATAACTCTGCTCTGAATATTCGTGTTTGCTAAATCTTCTAACAGTAGCACCAGACAGCAGAACAGTATCTCTCAGTCTTGTGTCTGTGTTGCTGGGTAGTGTTTTGCTGTCATAAAAATCATTGAGCCCCAGCTGAGTGTGACGGGACTTCGGGGTCAGGAACCACCCCGTTTCAGCTACAGGCAAAGACTGAGGCCCCAGCTGCTCTGTAAGCAGCACTCAATACCCACTTCTCAGATTAGTGCCCCCTGCTGGTCTGTGGGCTGCATCTGGGGTGTGGGGGCAAGGCTTGTTCTATATTGGTGGCTAAAAGGGGCTGATATTAGTTATGACCATTACATTCAGAGATTTTAAAAAATGCTGTGTCTCTCATGGTGACGTCCTCATCTCTGATGGCAATATTCTTTTCTCTGATGGAGATGCCAACGTCTTTGCTGACTATAGCCATGTCTCAGATGGCAATGCATGTGGCGATCATCTCTGATGGTGATGTCGTCATCTCTGATGGCAATGCCCGTGTCTCCGATGACAATGCCAGTGTCTCCAATGATGATCATATCCAATGGCGATGTCATCATCTTTGATGGCAATGCCAGTGTCTCCAACGATGATCATATCCAATGGCGATGTCATCATCTTTGATGGCAATGCCCGTGTCTCTGATGGCAATGTCATCATCTCCGATGGCAATGCCCGTGTCTCCGATGGCAATG